TTTGAGAATCCTATGATGGTAGAGTCCAGGATTTTTGCCACTACCACAGCAAATGGTTCTAATTGGAGAGGAACTACAAGAGGTAGAAATAACTACCAAAGTGGCCGTCGAAGAGGCAAAAACAATTCCAAAGGATCTATAGGTGAAATGACCAAGGTTTGTAGCTTTTGTGGTAAGGAGAATCATATTGTGGAAACATGCTACTTCAAGCATGGTTTCCCACCAAACTTTAAATTCAAGAACAAAAATACTAGTTCATCTATCAATTCCTTCTCCACGCGTTAGATTTCACAAAATTAAAATACTACTAATCAAAACAGTGAGCAATTGGAATCATTAAGTAATATTACATCTTGACCAACATGGACAAATCATGGAAATTCTCAAAACAAGTAATTCATAAGGTCCAAATCGTATGATAAATCAGGTTTTTTATAATAAACCTGATGAAGGTAAGATTCATCAATCCTTTACTGGTATTCTTCTTGGCCCCAGTGCTTGGATTTTAGACACTGGGGCCACTGATCATGTGACTAACTATTTAAATAATTACATTAGTTATTATTTTATAAATTCTATACAAGTTAAACTCTCTAATGACACTATTACACATGCTGAATTTTCTAGGACAGTTTCTTTTACTCATAATTTCTATTTTGATCATGTTTTTTTTATTCCTAACTTTCAGTTTAATCTTATTTTTGTTCAAAGGTTGATAACATCTTTAAATCATATCCTAATATTTGATAAATCTTCTTATGTCATACAAGATATGAGCACTTCGAGGACGATTGGACAAGCTAAAGTACAAAACAATTTATATCTACTACAACATCCTAGTAAGCTTATTGGAACTGTTGTTCCTGTTTTGTATTCTTTTAATGAAAACATGTATTGAACACTATTAGTAATATTAATTTGTGGCATTATTGTCTTGGACATCCTTCTTATAAGGTTTTACATCATGTGAACAAAAAATTTTCTTATGTTCAATTCAATTCCAATACAGTTTGTGATTTTTGTCATTTTGGCAAACAAACCACACTCTCATTTCCCATTAATCATAGTAAAAGTAATACTTCTTTTGAACTTGTACATATAGACATTTGGGGTCCAGTTTCTGTCCCTGCAATACATGGCCATAAATATTTCTTAATTGTGATAGATGATTATTCAAGACATATTTTGATTTTTCTCATTAAATCTAAAAGTGAAACTAGATATCTTATTGAGAATTTTATAAATATGGTTTATACACAATTTGGTAAAAGAATCAAATGTATTATATTAGATAATAGAACTGAATTTGTTATGCATCCTGCATATGCTAAGCATGACATCTTGCACTAAACCTCTTGTGTGAAGACTCCATAATAGAACTCTGTTGTTGAAAGGAAGTACAGACACATCCTTAATGTAACTAGAGCCCTATTGTTTCATTCTCATATGGCAAAGGTATTATGGGGATTTGCTGTCAAGCATGCAGTATACCTCATTTGTAGACTTCTATCACTAATCTTGCAAGGTAAGAGTCCTTTTCAATTACTTTATAATGAAGCACCTAATTTGCTTGATCTTAAAGTTTTTGGTAGTCTCTTCTACGCTTCTACCTTAATCCAAAATAGATCCAAATTTGATAGTAGGGCTAGAAAATGTGTTTTTCTAGGATATAAAGCTGGTACAAAAGGGTATATCTTGATGGATCTTTTCTCAAGGCAATTACATGTTAGTAGGAATGTTATTTTTTATGATGATATATTTCCATACAAACATATTGTTTCTGAAAATATCTTTCCTATTGACAATACTTTCTTTGATTTTTTTCCTCAAGACATTGCTCTTTACTCTCAATTTACTTCTCCTAATGATGAGCACCCTCATATTGCTTCTGCTCCCTCTCATGAAGAACAAAACATTGCTGAAATTGATATCAACACCAATAATACTCCTTTTAATAACAGTGATAGCCAACACATTAGGAGATCTCAAAGAATTAAGCATCCTCCTAGCTACCTTTCTGATTATCACTGCAACTTGTTACATACCCACTCTAATGTTAACCCCTCTATTGATGTTAAACATCCCTTGAGTTTGATTCTTTCTTACCAATCCTTTTCACCTACTCACCTCACATATACCTTATCCATTTCTACTCACATTAAACCACACTCTTATTTTGAAGCTATCAAATTTGATCATTGGGTTAAAGTAATGAATGATGAAATACAACTTTAACTGAAAATGGACCTGGTCTATAGTCCCTCTCCCTATAAAAAAGACTCTCGTTGGTTCTAAATGGATTTATAAAATCAAATACAAATCAGATGGTTCTATTGAAAGATATAAAGTCAGGCTTGTGACAAGAAGTTATAATCAAATAGAAGGGTTAGATTACTTTGATACATTTGCTCCTGTTGCTAAAATGAGTACCATTAAACTTCTTTTGGCCATTGCCTCCTGCCAAAATTGGCATCTTCGTCAATTGGACATTAAGAATTCTTTTTTGCGTGGCGATCTAGATGAGGATGTTTACATGACTATTCCTCAAGGAATCCTTTCACCTGGTCCTAATTATGTATGTAAACTTCATAAATCTCTTTATAGTTTGAAACATGCTAGCAAACAATGGTTTTCAACATGATCATTTTTTATTTACTAAGCCTTTTAACAATCATTTTACTTTCATATTGATTTATGTTGATGACTTGATTTTAGCTGGAACTGATACCATAGAAATTCAATTTGTTAAGCAACAACTTCATAGCAAATTTAAAATAAAAGATTTGGGCCATTTGAAATATTTCCTTGGGTTAGAAGTGGCTCAGTCTCAAACTGATATTACTCTTTCCCAAAGAATATATACTTTAGATCTTTTTTTTGACACTGGATATCTTGCAGCTAAACTAGTCTCAACCCCCATGGTTAAATTCTTCAAGAAACAGAAGCTGAATACTCAATCCTATCATGATGCCCTTGGTTATAGAAGTATAATTGAGAAGCTTCTTTACTTAACAACAACTAGACCTGACATTACTTTTTCTGTGCAACAACTTAGCTAGTTTATGTTCTATCCCATTAACTCACATCATTAAGCTGCTGTTCAAATTCTTAGGTACTTAAAAGGTGCCCCTAGCCAAGGAATCTTCTATCCAGCTACATTCTCTCTACAACTTAAAGCTTTTAGCGATTCTAATTGGGGGACTTGTTCAGGGACTCGACGATCAATCACTGGTTATTGCATATTTTTGAGTGATTCTCTCATATCATGAAAATTCAATAAGCAATCCGCTATATCACGATCTTCCTCCGAGGCTGAATATAGAGTTTTGGCTTTCACTGTCTGTGAGCTTCAATGATTGACATATTTACTTCAAGACTTGAAGATTCCTTTCATCACTTTTTCATTACTATATTATGATAATCAGTCTGCTCATTATATAGCTCACAATGCTGTCTTTCATGAACGTACGAAACGTATAGAGTTGACTGTCACCTAGTTCGGGAATGGCTAAACTTTTTTATTTACTACTGATTTCAACTCGCGAGCAAACTGCTAATATTATGACTAAGGCTCTTGATTCTTCTCCTTTTTCTTATTTGGTTTCCAAGGTGGGAGTAATAAACATATACTCTTCAGCTTGAGGGGAAATATTGGTGCTAATAATAATTAGTAATTAGTTTTGATATTCTAAAAGATATGTTTTGTTATTATTTAGTTTTGATTAGATCTTTTAGATATAGCTCTGTTTTTTGTTACATTAATCTTGTATATAATTTCTATTTTTCTTTTGTAATATTGTGAATTCACAATCAATGATAGATATTCAATTAGTTTGTATAAACTCTTAAAATCTTTATTTCAATTATGATAATTTTAATCCATCAAGTTACTATGGGTATCCAAGTGATCTAGTTTGCTTTATCCCTGTCATCTGATTATTTTGAGAAACATGCACGATTTTGAGAAACATGCACAAGTCAATTGAGTTACTTAAATTGATTATTCATCATGATAGAGTGAATATAATTATTTGATTAAATGAAGGCATGTCATTTTATTGCATTAGATATTTTAAAGCTGACTGATGTGACTTAATGCCACATTCCTTGCATGGTTAAAATATTTTATGCAAAATTAAATCATGGTCTTTGTCATCCATCTACCTCTCTTTTCCTTGTAACAAGGAAGTAAGTAAACTAGTCGAGCTAGCTTCATTTTTAGCTACTACTTAATAGTCTTTATTTCATTTTCACTTGCAGTTTAATAAAAATAAATCTAGTTTTATAAAATAAAATTTAAATCAAAATTGAATAAAAAATAAAATAGATTAGTTATCTCATTTTTTTTAATCTGAATTTTTTAATCTAATTTAACTTAAATTATAAATTAGACTTCTATATCTAGATTTTTCGCGCATTCCTAATTTTCGTGCTTCATAGCAACGGCCTTTTTCCTGTCATCTCTGCAGTTTCCTAAATTCATGGTTGTTGACCTTCGTTTTTTTGGCTGGTTGCAACTTTGATCCGTGACTTTTCTCCCTTTTAGTGCTCACAATTTTACACCTTTTCTTTCTTATAATTCGTTTTTCTATTACGGGCAACTCTCACGAGCTGTCTTACACCCCTCTTTCTTATTATTATTATTATTATTCTTATTATTATTATTTAAATAAAAGAATAATAATGATATCATATCCTTCATTGCGGGACTGCCCCTGTTTTTCTTCCCTTTCTCTATCTAGACTAAACTATTGTATCGTTCGGGACCATTCCAAAGAGGGCCAGACCTTCCTTTAATCCCATTCCAACCCCCAACCATTCTCCTTGTCTCTACATGAATAAAGAATAATACCATTCTATATCGAAGTTAGATCATCAAGACTATCACGCGTTCATAACTTATATTTTTCCAACGGTGTGCGTGTCAAGGAAAGAAAAGTGTTTGAAAGGTAAAATAATAGAGGTGAATCGAGTTTATAAACACTAAATTAATTCCAAAACAAAGGTTTAAAATCATGTAAAAATAATGGATGCAATACAACACATCAAAACAATTACCTTCAATAGGGTACAAATATGTGTTGATAAATATTCACACACAAATACACGATTTATTGCCCATTCAACTGCAAGGACCAATCTGTGTACTACAGATGTTTATTGAAGGAAAACCCCTGTTCATCGCTTATTATCATATTAATGCATATTAACTCATTACCTGAGATCACTCACTAACTGACTAAGCCTCTGCCTCCACTTTGCGGTTGTCCTTTTGAAGTTTGATTGATTTTAGCTCTTCAATTAAATCTTTCAAATTGTTGTAAGAAGACCCCCCAACTTCAATGGCTTTCTTTGCAGCAACACTGAGGGCTTTGACTCGCTTCTTCATTTCCACATACTCTGCCCCACTATCCATCAATAAAGCAATCGCTTTTACTATGTCCTCCCTTTTCACTATCTCGTCTCCAAAAACACCCCATTGCACCCATTTTTTTACTCCAACCGGCACTCCAATTTTGAGCACATCCACCAGTAACTTCTCATTGAAAAACTGTTCCGCAAAAAGAGGCCAAGTTACCATTGGCAAGCCTGCATCAACACTTTCAATAACGGTGTTCATTCCACAGTGAGTCACCACAGCTCCAGTTGCAGGATGCTCTAGTATGAGAAGTTGTGGTGCCCAACCCCATATTAGATAACCCCTGTTGCTTGCCTGCACCTTCTTCTCAAATTCCTCAAGAAAACCCCTAACCCCTTCATCTTCACCTTCATCAATTTTCTTAACCACCCAGATGAAATCATGGCCAGAATCTTCAAGGGCATGAGCTATTTCAACAAGCTGTGCAGAAGAGAACTTGTTCATGCTCCCAAAACACACGTAGACTACAGAGTCCTCTTTCTTAGAATCAAGCCACGTAAGCAACCCTTCATTTCCTTTTTCTTGTCCTTGTTTGTTGGCAAGTCCTCTACCGGCTTTATCCGCATCATCTTGGTTCACCCATGACGAAATTGGTCCCACGCTCCAACTCTTGGTTCCCGTGGTTGCCTTGTAATGATCCTCGTAAGCTCCCTCAAGCGCATAAAAGCTTTTGAACACTGATCCATAGCTCCTTTTCTCTGATTCCTTCGCCTTCCTCATATGTTCAGAAAACTCATGATTTTCTACTTTAAACCGTTCAGGTATCTGCCAACGTGTCATCTCCAACTTGTGAGGCAACCCAGGAAGCAAAAAACTCTCATCATCCGAATCGACCTTGGTGTGAGGTGCAAACTGTTCAAGAGAGTCCATTGCACAGTGAGCCAAGTAAGTCCCACCAACATAGATCAGCCTTGGAATTCCCAATTCAGCAGCAGTATCAACACTCCAAGGGTAAAACATGTCAGTGACTATGAAATCAGGTTTCATCTCACGGAAAAGTTGTTGAAATTGCCCTGCAAGAATGTGCAATCCCTCCAGGATTTTGGTAGCCATGTCTTTAGGAGTGTCAGCGTTTACCATCTCCCTGCCTTCTGGCAAACCAGCAACTTGTGGGAACTTAACAACATGGGTTCTAATGGATCGACCACGACTAGAGTCACGGTCGATTGAGCTTTGAAAAACGGCGGCATTTGCTGGTGTGGTGATGATGGTAACATCCACACCGTGCATGGCGAAGATCCTGCCTATCTCTACACCGGGAATGAGATGACTTGGTGATATAAAGGGAAGACAAATAGCCCTTAGCATGTCACCTTGACCTTCAACGTTAACACCAAAGGACTCCATGATAACTAATGTGTAACGGTGGAGAATGATTCTTTGTTGATGAATGAAGATGTGATGTGTAAATATACTTACGTTTCTGTCTAATCTAATCTGAGAGTGAGAAAGATAACATGATTATAATGCATTTTCTCTTAACTTCGCTTAGTTTATTTTTATTTTTGTCTTTCTTTTTTTCGTGACAATATTTATTACATAAAAAATAGGTTTACGGAGCTTTTTATCTCTCTATAATTCACGTTTTTTTTTATTTGTTATCTATTCATTCATTTTTTTGGTGACGACTTCTGTGGAAAGCTTTTCTTTACAAAATATTTTTTTATTTAGTCGTTTTAAATGCATGTTTAGATAAATAGAAATTTCTTAATGTGTATACGGATCAAATAAAAAGCTCATAATATTTAAATAAATTAAATAAATAAAATAAAAATTACTAAGAATTATTTGATAAATAAAAATATATTATGAATTATCTGTTTAAAAAAAATTTAAAATAAAAAACCGAATACTTAATAATTGTATCTTTGTTGGTTTGGGATCAGTAGCACAATAAGAAAGACAATTAAGCGTCGTTATCTTTAATAATTGTAGCATCAATAAGAGGCGGTTAACCGTAGTTATGCTTAATAATTGTATCTTTGTTGGTCTGGGATCAGTAGCATCCCCCGATGCCACCGACACTCATCCAATTCTCTTCCTGCCTGTCGTCTAATAAATAAGACCTCGAGAGTAGGTATGATTTCTGTTTTAAACCCTAAATTTGTATTAAAATTTATTTTTAAAAATAAAAAAATATTTTTAAAATAGTAATTAAACATATTTTAATTGTCTGTTTTATATTTTTATTTTTCTTTCAGTATTTTTACAACTGATAAATGAAGGCTTTACATTATACATTCAAATATAATTTTATAATAAAAACGTTCAACTAGATGAAAAAATATAAGTTCATTGTTTGTAAAAAACTATTGAGAATTGGACTAAAAATAAAAAAATTGTTAATATTATGTAATTTGATTAAGTTTTACATTACTTTTTTTTTATTTAATCTTATATATATATATATATATATATATATATATCACATTTTTCTGCATAATTTTTATACACAATATATTTTGTATATAAGTATCAAAATATAATATAAAAATAATGAACATGTATAGTATGATAAAATAAACAATCCTTAACAATTACATTTAATGGTATGAAATTGACTATATATTTTGTATTATAAATACTGTTTCTATTACTCTTTTAAAGAGTAGTAAAAATTAATAACTTTGACATTTAAAACTATTTCGTATATATATATATATATATATATATATATATTTTATAACAAGACAATAATATTCTTTATTAAACTATTAAATACTATATTCTTATAATATTTTCATAAGATATTAAATTATAATAATATTATCAAAAGTCAATAAAATTATCCTTTCTAACTTATCAATTATTATCACTTGTCACTGTAATATTTTTTAAAATTTATTTATATTGCAAGTTTCACTTTATTTATTATATTAATTTAAATAAAATTAATCTTATTTAATTAAGAAAATTATTCAATTCAATATAAAAAGTGATGTTTAAAACTTAAAAAGAATATATTTTAATTTTATTTATTATAAATTACTAACATGGGACATTATGAATGGAAAAACCATTAGTTTTTATTTTTATTAAGCATAACAATAAAACCTTATTCTTTTAATTATTTTTTCAATGCCCATGACATATATTAATAAGTATTAAATACATTTGATCAAATATTTTAAATTGTTATAAAAATATACGTTATTTTTTTATAACTTTTAAATAACAGTTTTTTTAATATTTTCTAAATATTTGTACAAAGATTAATTAAAATACTCGTTAACAAGCAATTTTTCTATTCTATTCCTTTATCTACGACGATTAATTAAAGAATAAAATAAAAATTAAAATAAAAGTTATGATTAAATTTTTTTATTATATACAAAAACTAATATAAAAATATATTGTGAAAAACGGTACTATAACGTGTGAGATGATAGTAGAAACATTTTAAAAATATTTGTTTTCTTGGTAGAAGTTATTTATCAGTTAATTTTATTATCATAGAATAAAAAAACTCTAAAATGTGTTTAAAACCTTAAATTAACTATTAAATATATTAATATAAAACGCTTAAATATCTCTTTATATTATACTTTTTGATATTTTTGAAATTAAAAATTTATTTTTGAATAATATATTTATAAAATTCTAAATTATATAAAATTTTATTTGATAATATATTTTTTAAAATAAAAAATTAAAATTTATATATATTTAAAAAGAGAAAAAATGACTATTGAATAAAGAAAATTATAAAATACATTTTAAAAAATATAATACTATTGAATAAATATTATAAATAATATTATTATTTAAGTAAAAAAACTCAATTTAATAGCATAAAAATTAAATTTAAAGGTGAAAATTTCTTAAATATTACAGTAATAATTTTTAGAAATTAAATATTTGCATAGATAAATCTAATTATTTATTAATACAAATTAAAATATTATTAAATATAATAATATTTAAAATGATATTACTAAAAAAACATTTTAAATATTATTAAATATTAATTTATAATAAATAATTTGATTAAAATAATAAAATTATAAATAATCATTGTACTGGATAAGATACTTCGGTCATCATTATAGAAAAAAGAAATCAAATACTCATTTGACTTAACACTAAGTCTACGCACACTCTTTTGACTTAACTTCAAAATGAACATTTCTTTTGTTGTATCAAAGATAATTAAATATTAATAATTGATAATTAATAAAAAAATTAATTACTTAAATAATCAAAAAGCTAAAATAAAATTGAGTTATAAATTTTGTTAGTCGAATATTTTGTTTATAAAATAAGTAATAAGTACATATTAGAGATTAACTTTTGATATATAAAATAATATTTATTATTTTATATTGAATATTGACTTTAAGATCATTTAATAAGAATAGTTATAATATTTAAAATTAATGGATATTTATAAATTTGAAACTAATTATTATTATTATTATGAATTAATTTAAATTGAAAAATAAAGTTTTATAAATAAGTTAGTATAAAAATATGCCAATAAATAAAGCCAAGGTCTCGTTTGCTTAGTGAAATATTCACAATCCCCGTCGCTGGAGACGAGAATACACATTGCTTAATGGAAGCCTTATCTCTTGTACCACGCGCGTCCCCATTATAAATGGAGCTTTCTGCATTTCCGAGCTTCAAAGCAGCTTCTAATGCTTCGTTACTTCCATTTTATTCGAATCAAGTTTGGTGCCGATGTTCTTTTCGTCTTCGTCGTCGAGATTATGGCTTTCGTTGGACTCGCAAGTCAAAACCGTTTATTCGGATCAAGATGTGCTCGGAGAAAGGCTCGTCGTCAAACGGTTATGGTGGAATCGAGAGCGGAGAAACGAAATCTGATTTTGTCGAAGTGATTGGCATTGGCTCTAGGAAGGACGCGGTTTTTGATTTCTGCTTGAACTCGCCGTTTCAGCTATTGTCGCTGCGATTTTGGTAATCTTTCTAGCTTATTTTCATCGTTTTCGTATTTATATTTTTTTTTATTTCTGAATTGTAAATTCAAAACCTATGTGATTTGCGATATTTTCCTTTTCTCCTTGAACGCGTTCAAATATCATATGGCTTGGTATGGTTGAAGATCCTTAGTTTTATCTATAGTGAAAGCATCGACTGATAGTTTTAGTATTTTCTAAATCTCCGTTGATTATTTGTTCTTTAGTGGCGGGAACAGACAATGTTGACAATATTATACCAGTGCCTTCGCAGATATTTTGTATTTAATGTGTAAACATGTAGGGCTTCTTATGTTGCTTTAAGGAAGGAAATTGCATTGTTTGTAATATCGTGACAAGTCTTAGCAATAGCTATTGTTTTGTCAATGGTGTTGGATTTTACCAATCGGGGCAACCCTTATTGGCAGAGGCAGTGCCTGGTGTAAATCATGAGAGGCCTTCCCTCCTGCCCACTAAGTTTTTAAGGACTCTACATTAAAAAATATATATTCCCCAAGCCATCATTTTCCAGATTGTCCAGCTCTTCCACCGCTAATCATCAGTAATGAGATGGATACGTAATGATGTCATACTTTTTAGAATCTTCGAGAGTATACAAGAAATGACTTATGGTTTTAGTCTATTACATGGTTTTTTCCATTTCAGATAACATTATTTAGATTCTTCTAGATTTTTTATTTTTATTTTCTGTGTTTGCATTTTGAATTCATTTTAACATAGCAATCTTGTGCAGGAATATTCTTATGAAAGAAGCACAAGAGGTGCAATTACAGCAAAGGTCAATTGAAGAAGGTTTTCCTTTTATTTAATATTACTGTGACTATCTTTATCTTATAATTCTACTCTGTCTAGTTTAATATAGAAACATGTATTGACTTATTTTCTTTGATGTCTAATTTGATAGAAAAATCTTAAATTGCGATTACATTATTCTTTATTTTACTGTAAAAAATGAAGTTTAAATCTCTAATCAGAAGACAGATTCATTCTAGAAATTATAACTTTTTAATGAAAAAAATACAGAAAGAGATAGGGGAAAATGCCCTGTTTCACTAATGAATTTCAGTTCAAATAAATCTCACGTTGTTCTCCCGTGTTAGAAGGTATTAATATTTTGGGCTATTTTTGCAGAACCTTGTCCAAGAATTGTCAAAGCTCCAGTATTTTTGAAGTCGTGTTCAAAGACTATTGTCCTTGTTTGTACATTCCTTACCTTCAAACTCCTGTTGTAAAACCTTTGTTTCAATTGTGGTAACTTTAATCCATCAAGTTACTATGGGTGTCCAAGTGATCTAGTTTGCTTTATCCCTTTCAGCTGATGATTTTGAGAAACATGCACAAGTCAATTGAGTTACTTAAATTGATTATTCATCATGATAGAGTGAATATAATTGTTTGATTAAATGAAGTCATGTCATTATTTATTGCATTAGATATTTTAAAGCTGACTTATGTGACTTAATGCCAAATTCCTCGCATTGTTAAATATTTTGTGCAAAATCAAATCATGAGATGGATTTTTCCAGATAGAATTTGTTAAAGCAGTCTCATGGTCTTTGTCACCTCTCTACCTCTCTTTTTCTTGTAACAAGGAAGTAAGTAAACTAGTTGAGCTAGCCTCCTTTTTAGCTAACACTTAGTAGTCTTTATTTTATTTTCACTTGCAGCTATATAAGACATTCAGGGGCTGTGTTGCAAAGATTAAGATGAACTAAAATCAGTTTTAATAAAAATAAATCTAGTTTTATAAAATGAAATTTAAATCATGTCTGAATAAAAAATAAATTAGATTAATTATCTCATTTTTTTTAATCTGAATTTTTTAATTTAATTTAACTTAAATTATAAATTAGACTTCTATATCCAGATTTTTCGCCCATCCCTAATTTTCGTGCTTCATTGCAACGGCCTTTTTCCTGTCATCTCTTCAGTTTTCTAAATTCATGTTTATTGACCTTCGTTTTTTCGGCTGGTTGCAACTTTGATCCGTGACTTTTCTCCGTTTTAGTGCTCACAATTTGACACCTTTTCTTTCTTATAATTCGTTTTTCTATTACGGGTAAAAAAATGCCTATATAAATCTATTCCAAGACATATGGAATTCTCCGATTAAGACGTAGCCGGGTAGTCTCCGATCGGGTGAAGGAATGCTAGTGCGCAAGCTCGTCTCAAAACAAAAGAAGAAAGGCCTATTCAAAGGTTCAAAGCCCTATAGCGCTAGCCAGCAAGCATTAGATGAAGCCTATTTTGTCTATTTCGCATAGCCCTTTCATACACCCCTCTTTCTTATTATTATTATTTAAATAAAAGAATAATAATGATAAGAGATATCATATTCTTACAATATATATATATATACACACAGTGATTCATATAACAAGTGAGATAGAGAGACAGAGAAAAGTGTGATAAAATAAATAATGCAATTAAGAAATATATAAAGAAAGGAGTCTTCATAAATTATTATACAATTTGCCAGTCTCGCTGATAACACGTCAGCTTATTTTTCTTCCGAAAAATCAAATTCCGTTACAGTTAGAAAAAATTAATCAACATAGTAATATGTTTGATATTTTACTTAATAATGCAAAATAAGTATTTAATTAAATTTGAAACATATTAAAAAATGTAAATAAAAAAAGATAAAAATGTTTGAAGGTGTGCATTATAAAAAATATATATAATAGTTAATTTTAAAAATGATCCTTCTATCAAAATTATAAATTTATTTGAATGAAAAATTTTTTCTAATTTTTTTAAAAAATGTAACGGTGTTTGTTAGGTCGTTCCTTCATTGCGGGACTGTCCCTGTTTTTCTTCCCTTTCTCTATCTAGACTAGACTATGCTATCGTTCGGGACCATTCTAAAGAGGGCCAAACCTTCCTTCAATCTCATGCAGAAATTTTAAATATAAAATTAAAGATAATATAATTATATATAATACACATCATAACATCTCAATACAATTTCAACATTAAATAATTACGTTAAACGCGTACCTGATGAGAACCCATGAGTCATAAGCAATCCTGATGAGAACCCATAAATCATAAGCATTCCTTATTTTCGAGTAAGTGTGTACTACTCTCTTATATGATTGCTATTATCCTACACTACTAGTTATAAGCAATCATGATGAGAACTCATACTGATGAGAACCCATAAATCATAAGCATTCCTTATTTTTGAGTGAGCGTATATTACTCTCTTATGTGATTGCTATTATCTTACACTAGTAACTGTCTAATGGGGCAACAGTTATATAAACTTAATCAGATAAGAGCACCTCACTGAATACATAGAATAGTCCAACTCATCTGTCTAATGGGGCAACAGTTATATAAACCTAATCAAATGACAGCACCTCACTGGATACATAGAATAGTCTAACTCATCTGTCTAATGGGGCAACAGTTATATAAACCTAATCAGATGAGAACATTCCACTGGGTACATAGAATAGTCTAACTCATCACGGACTATTCACACTAAGAGCCCAATTACAAAAATTTATATAATAATAATAAAAAATTATTATACACATTTATTTTACGTCATAATTAATAACAATATAACCATAATAATTTAATAATGCTAATCCATAAATTAATATAAATATTAATATTAATGTTAAAAAAACTAACATTCTCCCACTTGGATAGCATTATTAAATTATTAAGTCCACAAACTATGTCATCATAACAAGTTATTAATTATCACCAAAGAAATAATAAACTTTCAATAGTATACAATTATATCCGATAGGGATATACATCACGTTCTTTGTGATATGTACAACAAAAATAGGGTAATGACGAACGCAAAATGAAAGAAAGAATAAATTCTCAATCTAAATTGAACGAAATAATAAATTAACAAAAGCCCTTAATCTATCTTTAAAAAAAAAAACTTTACCCTTTTAGAGAATTTGAAAGAAAACAATTTTAGTGTTCATAGTTTCAAAAAATAAGAAACTGCAAAATTCTCTTAATCTACTCAATGAAAATTAACAATATTTGAATATAATATTTATGAATATAAGAGGAATAAAGCCCTAAATTATTTTTCAAATCCATACATAAAATTATAGCGTTTTAATTACTCAAAGTTAGAAAATTACGATGTGTATTAAGTTAGCTCTGATACTATTTGCAGAAATTTTAAATATAAAATTAAAAATAATATAATTATAAATAATACACATCATAACATCTCAATACAATTTTAACTATATGTAATTGAATAATTGCGTTAAATGCCTAACTAATGAGAACTACGAGTTATAAGCAATCCTAATGAGAATCCATAAGTCATAAGCATTCCTTATTTTTTAGTGAGCGTGTACTAGTCTCTTATCTGATTGCTATTATCTTACACCTCTCACTGAGCACATAGAATAGTCCAACTCATAACGGACTATTCACATTAAGAGCCCAATTACAAAAATCTATATAATAATAATAAAAAATTATTATACACATTTATTTTACGTCATAATTAATAACAATATAATCATAATAATTTAATAATACTAATCCATAAATTAATATAAATATTAATATTAATGTTAAAAAAATAACATCCCATTCCAACCTCAAACCATTCTGTTTGTCTCTAGATGAATAAAGAATCATACACCATTCTAGATCGAAGTTAGATTATCAAGAGTATCACGCGTTCATAACCAAGTTTATTTTTCCAACGGTGTGCGTGTCAACTGCAAGGACCAAGCTGTAGGATTTTTCTGAATCCCCGAACATGTGTTCATAATACAGCTGGAACTAATTTAGATTATTAGCTATGCTATAATTACTATAGATGTTTATTGAAGGCAAACCCCTGTTCATCGCTTAATATCATATTAATGCATATTAACTCATTACCTGAGATCACTCACTAACTCTCCACTAAGCCTCTGCCTCCACTTTGCGGTTGTCCTTTTGAAGTTTGATTGATTTTAGCTCTTCAATTAGATCTTTCAAATTGTTGTAAGAAGACCCACCAACTTCAATGGCTTTCTTTGCAGCAACACTGAGGGCTTTGACTCGCATCTTCATTTCCAGAGACTCTTCCCCACTATCCATCAATAAAGCAATAGCTTTTACTATGTCCTCCCTTTTCACTATCTCGTCTCCAAAAACACTCCATTGCACCCATTTTTTTATTCCAACTGGCACTCCGATTTTGAGCACATCCACCAGTAACTTCTCATTGAAAAACTGTTCCGCGAAAAGAGGCCAAGTTACCATTGGCAAGCCTGCATCAACACTTTCAATAATGGTGTTCATTCCACAGTGAGTCACCACAGCTCCAGTTGCAGGATGCTCTAGTATGAGAAGTTGTGGTGCCCAACCCCATATTAGATAACCCCTGTTGCTTGCCTGCACCCTCTTCTCAAATTCCTCAAGAAAACCCCTAACCCCTTCATCTTCACCTTCATCAATTTTCTTAACCACCCAGATGAAATCATGGCCAGAATCTTCAAGGCCATGAGCTATTTCGACAAGCTGTGCAGAAGAGAACTTGTTCATGCTCCCAAAACACACGTAGACTACAGAGTCCTCTTTCTTAGAAGCAAGCCACGTAAGCAACCCTTCATTTCCTTTTTCTTGTCCTTGTTTGTTGGCAAGTCCTCTACCGGCTTTATCCGCATCATCTTGGTTCACCCATGACGAAATTGGTCCCACGCTCCAACTCTTGGTTCCCGTGGTTGCCTTGTAATGATCCTCGTAAGCTCCCTCAAGCGCATAAAAGCTTTGGAACACTGATCCATAGCTCCTTTTCTCTGATTCCTTCGCCTTCTTCATATGTTCAGAAAACTCATGATTTTCTACTTTAAACCGTTCAGGTATCTGCCAACGTGTCATCTCCAACTTGTGAGGCAACCCAGGAAGCAAAAAACTCTCATCATCCGAATCGACCTTGGTGTGAGGTGCAAACTGTTCAAGAGAGTCCATTGCACAGTGAGCCAAGTAAGTCCCACCAACATGGATCAGCCTTGGAATTCCCAATTCAGCAGCAGTATCAACACTCCAAGGGTAGAACATGTCAGTGACTATGAAATCAGGTTTCATCTCACGGAAAAGTTGTTGAAATTGCCCTTCAAGAATGTGCAATCCCTCCATGATTTTGGTAGCTATGTCTTTAGGAGTGTCAGCGTTTACGATCTCCCTGCCTTCTGGCAAACCAGCAACTTGTGGGAACTTTACAACACGGGTTCTAATGGATCGACCACGACTAGAGTCACGGTCGATTGAGCTTTGAAAAACGGCGGCATTTGCTGGTGTGGTGATGATGGTAACATCCACACCGTGCATGGCGAAGATCCTGCCCATGTCTACACCGGGAACGAGATGACTTGGTGATATAAAGGGAAGAAAAATAGCCCTTAGCATATCACCTTGACCTTCAACTTTAACACCAAAGGACTCCATGATAACTAGTGTGTAACGGTGGAGAATGATTCTTTGTTGATGAATGATGATGTGTATATATACTTAGGTTTCTGTCTAACCTGGGAGAGAGAAAAATAAAATGATTATCATACATTTTCTCTTAAGTACACCATCTTCTCTTTGTTTATTTTTATTTTTGTCTTTCTTTTTTTCGTGACAATATTTATTACATAAAAAATAGGTTTACTTAGCTTTTCATCTCTCCATAATTCACGTTTTTTTTTATTTGTTATCTATTCATTCGTTTTTTTAGTGACGACTTCTGTGGAAAGCTTTTTTTTACAAAATATTTTTTTATTTAGTCGTTTTAAATGCATGTTTAGATAAATAGAAATTTCTTAATGTGTATACGGATCAAGTAAAAAGCTCATAATATTTAAATAAATTAAATAAATAAAATAAAAATTACTAAGAATTATTTGATAAATAAAAATATATTATGAATTATCTGTTTAAAAAAATTTAAAATAAAAAACCGAATACTTAATAATTGTATCTTTGTTGGTTTGGGATCAGCAGCACAATAATAGAGGCAGTTAAGCGTCGTTATCTTTAATAATTGTAGCATCAATAAGAGAGGAAGTTAACCGTTGTTGTGTTTAATAATTGTACCTTTGTTGGATTGGGATCAGTAGCATCCACCGATGCCACCGACACTCATCCAATTATCTTCCTGCCTGTCGTCTAATAAATAAGAGCTTAAGAGTAGGTATGATTTCTGTTTTAAACAGAGCTAGTCAAAAATTTGGCTCGGCTCAAGGCCTAATCCTAACCTTAGCCCTAGCTTACGTGGGCTAGGGCCAAAAACTCTGCAACCAAAAAACTCATCAATTTATAAATTTATAAGGCTAAAAGTTAACAGGGCCAGAATTAAGGTCAGGTTTTTGTGAACTAAACAAATTTATATATTTTTAAAAAATTAAATTTAAAAAATTTTAATATAAATTGTAATAATTATTAGAATATTTAATAAAAATATTTATTTCATATAATTTTTTATTATAAACTTGTAGTCCAATAAAATTACTTAAAAAAATAAAAATAAAATTTATATAATAATAAATATTTATAATGATTGTTGTTATTAAATAAAATTAATAAAAATAATGATTATTATATAATTTTAATAATTTAATTTAATTTAATTAAAAATAATATCTCATGGTTGTCTTTTTTATTTTAATATGTAAGAAGTTATGTTCCTAATTATGTCTCAACCTTAATTATATGGCTTTTTTTGCCTTTTTAGGGTTAATTTGAAAACAAAATATCAAATTAGGCATCCATGCAAACAAATTTCGTGTCTGGGGTTTGTAGGCCACGTGGCAGTGAAGTTGTTCAGCATAGAGACAACATCAAAAAGTAAAAACGTCCAATTACCAGACAACACCAGTCTTTCTGGAACACGTTAAAAACAATGAAAAAAAATAGAAATAATTAAAACGGAATGGACGGCTGGGGATGAACAAAGCCATGTGTAGAAATCTTATAGAATTGTCTGAGTCAGAGCCAATGTCAGTGTTGGTGGGGTCAGGGACAATTCAGGACAGTCGTCTAGATCAGGGATGACACTCTTTTTATTGGTCCACATGGCAGAGTATTTTGACTGTTTGGGCGCGGGCTTCTCCTTTATTCCCTTTCTCCTCCATCTTCTCCGTTTCGCATGCAAAGGCGATGTGGTTGCCGAAAAAAAAATAGCAACAACATTTCTTAGCATTTTGTTAGGTTCTGGTATTAAGGTTTTTTAGCAAAAAATTATTAAAAGGTAATGAGATTAATATTTTGAATATATTTTACTTTGTAAAAATAAAATTGCATGTATGTAATATTGAATCTGTGATGCAGGTGAAATTGTGGGTGAATGCTCGTGAGTGAGTGGTGCTGGTGAAGGAGAAGGTTCCTTCAAATTCAAATCAAAGTTACGGAGGTGCACAAATTAATTTTAATTTTTAAATATTTTATAAATTAATTTATTTATTCTGTAACAAATAATATATTAGATAAATTATATTAGAAAAGATATAATATATATGTTATTATTTATAATTAGTTATTCAAAAATGTAATAAATAAAAATTATAGTCATCCATAATATGTATTAATTATTAAATTAAAAAAAATTCTGCAGATAATAACTTGATAAATTAATAGGAAAGAATACTATATATTAATATATAGTTTTAAAAAAAATAAAAAACATGAACATGAAAAAATATATATAGAATGTAGTGAAAATATTAAATAATTAATGTAGAAGAAATAATATATTTTAATTATTTGATAGTAGATTGATATATAAAAAAATTAGTGAAATTAAAAATATTAGATATAGTAAATACAATATAATTATTAAGAAACAAGATAATTATTGAATAATTATAATAAATCAAGATAATAATGATTTTATGAAAATTAACATAACAGAAGTTTTATTATTACAAATTATATAATATATGTGTTATTATTTATAATTAGTTGTTTAAAAATATCATAAATAAAAATTATAGGAATCCATAATATGTATTAATTATTATATAAAAAAAATATTTTAATTAATTGATAAATTAAGAGGAAAAAATACTATATATTACTTGATAACTTGTGAGAACTATTGTCAAAACTAGTATTTTTTATAATCCAAGAAATAAAACATGTTTGAATGTTTTTTTTTTGCCAACCCTTAACATAAAAACTTGTACAAAATTTTAGAAACAATATTTTTTATATATATATAAATCCATCGTAATTATTGAACCGTTTAAAATTTTCAATAATTAATATAATAATAAAATTAAACTTTAAATAGGAGTAAACTTTAAGTATTATGAGAGAACACTTTAATGAAATTAAGAAAATAATGATTTTGTGGTTGAATTACAGAAAGAAAAGTATATTAAAAATTATATATAATATTTAAAATTATGTATTTGTTTATTTGTTGTAATTGTAAAATTTGATATACAAAGTGAACTTAGTGCAAGAAAGTATGCTTTGTTTATAATTCAAAGTAAATAAGAAATTATATATAATATTTAAAAGAGTGCATGTAATTATATTTATTGCTACAGATTATAATTATAAAATAAAATTTAAAAGTTTTTAAAATGTTAATAAAAATTAACAATATAATAATTAAATGAAATAAATTTTAGAGTTAATTTTAAATTTTGAAATTGTTAGAGTTAAATAATTGTAATAAAACCCATGTACTAAATGAATAGAATTTTTATATTATTAATTTTAACATACATAATTTAAGTTTAAGTTGACAAATTTTATTTCAGATGGCATCATCTTCATCGTGGAGTAAGGTTTTAAATCCTGGGTCGGAGGATGGTTCATTATTGAAGTATCAGTCTGTTCACGTATCGGAGCATATTTGGGATGGACGTGAGCACCTAATTCTGAAGGTGAGAATGAGTCATTTCATACCGGCTGGCATGGAAGGGGTTCCAATGGAGATTCTTCCTCATCTTACCTTAGCTGGATTTGCTGGGGTAGCTCAGTTGGCATGTTTTCCTATTAATTGACATCTTATTACAGCCTTGGTAGAAAGATGGAGGCCAGAGACTCATACCTTCCACATGCCTCTTGGAGAGTGTACTATAACTCCTTAGGATATTGCTATTCAAATAGGGCTTCATATAGATGGAAAGACAGTCATTGCAGCTGTTGGAGGTAATAAGGCACAAATTGTGGAGGACTTGTTTGGTATTAGGCCACCTGATGATGCATTTGCAGGGAGCAGTTTGAAGTTGAGTTAGTTTGACCAACACTTTACTCATGTTGCAATGCATAATCATAATGAACTTCAGCTTACTTGCTTTGTTAGAGCTTATATTCTTAGGTTAATAGGTGGTTTCATGTTGGCTGATCATTTCTCTAGTAGGGTCCCAGTTAGGTACCTTCCATTGCTTGAGGATTTTATTATCACGGGAGAGTACATTTGGGGAGCGGCAGCATTGGCATTTCTATACCAGATGTGAAGCATGAGATCATCGTCGACAGTACATATTGACACCTCATGAGGCCGGGTATGCAGACCAATCCTTTGATTCAGATTCAGATTGATGGGTTCTTATTTATGTATAAGTTCTAACTTGATGTTGCACTTTTTATAAATATTACTGTAACATGTTATCTATATATAAGAGATGTCGCTATATTACCTTATATCGTACAAAGTTATTTAAAACATTAACAAGGAAATACGCGTTACATCCTTATTGACATTAACAACAAAGTACATTAATACATCTGCTAACATTAACAACATGAGACATTAATACATTATCCACATTAGCAACAATAATTTCTCTTGAAAAGCAACATCTTTTTACATCTACTGCTGATTACGATCATGATGCTGAGGACAATGACGTTGGTTATGACCATGTTGTTGACATAATCTACATCTTTGTCGTGGTTGTGACTCGACCCAATTCATTTCATTCCTAATTCAGGTAGCCTTTGGTCTTCCTTTACCTCGTGCTCTTTCTACATCTGGTACTAACTTCCACTTATTATTATGTAAAATATTACTTTCATTTCCAAGAGGCTACCACTGAGATGAATATGTGTTTACAACATACTATAAAGTATAAACAAGATTCACATATTGCCAAAAATCTATACTCATATGAGCACAAACAGCTATGACATGTGAGCATGGATATTGAAATGCCTTAAATTTTTTGCATTGACAATAACGTGTGGACAATATGACTGTCCACTTATGACCACCCCTTTGTATCACTGGATTAAATGCCTCTTCAACCTCAAACCTTGTTCTTTGTATGTCATACCGCTGAACTTGATGTGAAGATGCTTCTTGTTGATTTTTTTCCATAGCTTCCATTAATTTCTGACAGTATCTTCCTCCATTGTTAACCTCATGCATTGCAGTTTCACCACGCTTCACAAAATATTCTACCAATCGTGCATACGTAGCTTTGACCAAGGTAGTAATAGGAAGGTTTCTTGCCCCTTTCAAAACTTTATTTATGGACTCAGACAAATTTGTTGTTATGTGGCCATAACGACATCCTTCATCATCATAAGCCAAACTCCACTTTTCCTTTGATATATTATCTATACAAGTCTGAATTTTAGGTGATTGTGATCGAAACGTATTAAGCTTAGATTCAAAAATATGTTTTGATGGTGTATATTCTGCATTTACCAGAAAAAGTTTGAATGCATAGGTTAAATATTCAAAATATATTAAAAGTTAAATGAATCAAATAGGAAGAATACGTACCTAATTGAATTAGTTTTTCCTTCAACATGGTATTTTTGAATCATCGATTGAAATTACTTGCAATGTGACGAATGCAATAAACATGATAAGCATTTGGAGGTTGCCAATCTAGATGTGGGTTAGAGACTGCACTTTTTATACTTTGATGTCGATTTGAGATCAAACATAGCCCTGCCTTATTTGTCACATGTATACGAATCATGACTAAAAACCATTCCCATGCAGATAAGGTTTCTCCTTCGACAATGGCAAACGCAATGGGAAGCACACAGTTGTTTCCATCTTGAGTCGTAGCAATTAGCAAAGTTTGTCGGTACTTACCGTACAAAAATGTTCCATCTACCTGTATTATAGGCTTACAAAAGTTGAAAGCTTCATGACATTGCTTGAACAACCAATACAACCGATGAAAAACTCGATATCTATTATCCACGTTGTGACTTTCAACATAATCATTTGTTTCAATTTTGTATACAGATCCAGGAGCATGTAATTGCATGTACTCTAGCCACCTTGGCAATGCAGCATAAGATTTGTCTCAGTCACCAAATACAGTAACAATTGCTTTTTGTTTTGCTTTCCATGTCTTCTTGTATGAAATTGAATATCCAAATTGACCACTAATTCTCTCTTGAACTAACGAAATAGGCACTGATGGTTCTTCTTTCACGATACCTGCATGTCATATATTAAGAGCAATTTTTTAAATTTGTTGGGATGTAATAGAATGAAAATTAGTAAATTTTTTATATTTCAAATTTCTCAAATTTAATATCAAATTTAACATACCAAGAATGCATAAGCAAATAAAATTGAAATCTAACTTTTGGTGGTCTTGAGAGATTGAAGCATTTACGCATGTATGGGTACCATCCCACTTGATAATTTTCTACTTGTCTGCATTTTTTGGCAACGATGCTCAAACTCTCCACGGACATCCACTATTGTGATTGACACACTTCACAACATATGTTGCTTTTAACTCCACCACAAAAAAAGTTTGATGTTTCCTCATGGCATAATATTTTATAGCTATTCTTATATCTTCTTTAGTATCAAATAGTTGTCCAACATAAATGCATCTCCTTCCTTCCATGTTTGCGCTTCATTCATTCCAAAAAAATCTAATTCTTCATCAAGGTATTCCCAATTAATATGACTGTAATGTGGGGTTATATTCCAAAAGGTGCAATGTAGTTTCTACATTACAACAATTCATTCATCAAATTTATACCATGAATAACAATTTATACATTACTACAAATATAAGTTCTAAAAAAATCATACCTCCATGTTGTTGTTGCGATAAACTAACTCTTACAATACTCTCCATATTGATCTTTGAATCACAATCATCATTTGTCTTAGTATCAGAAAAATCATTTAATGAAATATCTTCTTCATCTTCATATTCATCATCTTCATCATCTTTATCTGTACATTGTAAACTTATATTATTAATAGCATTTATAGCATCAATTTTACAAATTTAAAAATTATTAAATTCATATTATCTTCTCTTTGTGCATAATCATCATCGTCATCATCACTTCCATGAAGTTGTGAGAGTGATAAATTCACTTCTAATGGATGCGCCACAACAGAAAATGTTTCACCCACCGCAACATCCACATATATCTCAACTATATTCCTATGATGTGCTTGTTGACACGCACTTATTATGCAATCTATGTCTTCATCGTCACATACATCTAGAGTTGTATGGTATCGACCATTTGTCCCAACTAAAATTCAAAAAATTAATCTAGAAATTACGTGATAACTTGACAATTTCAGTCTTGTATGGATCTTTCGTTTAAACATCTCAAGTGTGATCCCAGTTCTATCTTAATCATCTTTTTTTGCCCTTCAAAAATTATACCCTCATTTCCTTCATATATTCTACCATTTGAATATAATATACCAACAATTTCATTAATCCTGCATTTAAAATAAGCTAAGCTTATTTATAAGTTAATTTTTAATATAACAAAATATATTTTTAAATTCATTTGTAATTATAAATATTTAAATATTTAATTTTTAACATTATATGTTATCTGCCTTATTTCCAAACATAACAAAAAAAATTAAATTACAACATTAATACTTAAAAGCCATTAAAAATATAAATTAAATTTTATTATTCAAAATAAAATTTCTACATAACTATTGAAAATAAATTATATATTCATAATACTTAAAATCTAACCTGATTGCTCAATAGTTATTATTTCTTGTCCAGCTCCACACTGTTATTCCAGCTTCACACTTCCTTCCGGCTACTTGCATTTCTTCTCAAGCTTCATCCTACTATTTATATTCACATTCTAATTTGGACAAAGGAGTGTATCAAAATTTTTATCTGATGGTCACATTAAAATCGTCTCTGTTGTGGACGACATTAAAATCATCCAACATATAACAACACAAGTTCCTGGGACAACAAGTGTCAGCATCACGTTAGTGTCGGCTGAAACAGGGACGACACTGTCATAGTTGGATCGTCAGACGCGTGTCGTCCCTCTTCTGGACGACTTCACCTGTATCATCTGGTAATTGGACATTTTATCCTTTGAGTGTCGTCCCTATGCTGGATGACTTCACTGCCACGTGGCCATCAAACCTCAGACAGGGAATTTCTTTGCATGCATGCCTATTTTAGTATTTTGTTTTCAAATTAACCACAAAAGGCAAAAAAGCCTAATTATATCCAACATTGAGTAATATTCTCACATACACATATATATACATATATATATAGATGCATGTACATACATAAAAATATAATCTTTAATTATATTTATATACTGATAAATATTAGATAGATTTTGCGTTAATTTTTTTAACTTTCATATTTTTTTAAGGTTAAAGTGTTTGTTAATATTAAATGTTAATTTAAAAATTTACGATTTAATAATTTGTTATAAAACATGAAATTGATTAATTTAATCGTTAACTTAAAATTTTTATAAATAAATTAAATTTATAAAATTTTATGTATAAATAAAATTAATAATACTTTATTATATTAATTTATTTTAACAGGTGTTGTATTTTTTAAATATAAATAAATATCAAAATAACAAACTCAAAAATATTTAAATTATATGAACATTAAATTATAATAAAATAAGTCAACAGTTAATTTAGTCAATCTTGTATTTTATAAAATATTATTAAAAACATAAGTATTTATGCATTAATGAATCTCAACTTATTTCCTAAAATTAAATTTTTGTTAAAATTTAAATTTATCTGTAAATAGATGTTAATAAATTTATAATTTGACATAAATTTTGATTTTAAAAAATATTAAATAAATATTCAATTAATTTATGTATTCTCTTATATAAAAAAAAAAGTTTATATCTAAGTGCACTTAAGTCCAAAGGGTCAATTTATTTATCCTACTAAAATATATACATTGTCGAGTTTACTAATTTTGAGTCTAATTGAATTTTGACCCAACACAACCCAGTTTAATATATAATTGGCTTGAGATGGACTAACATGCACATTCAGTTATTTAAAAGGAACAATTTAATATATTATTTTTATGATAAAATTTTAATATACTGAATAAAAAATATTTTTAAAAATAATTTTTAATTTATTTAAATAAAATAATTTAATAAATATTATAAAAAATAATATAATTATTATTATTTACTTTGTAAAATAAGTGGGCTAGCCCACCCTTAACCTTGACCCTAACTCACTATTTTCTTTATTTTGGAGCTTAGGGCTAATGTAAATCCATTAATTATAGAGGGCTAACACAGTAGGGTTCAAGGCTTTGGCCCATTTTGACAGCTCTAGTTTTAAATCTTAAATTTGTATTAAAATTTATTTTTAAAATAAAAAAATATTTTCAAGATAGTAATCAAACATATTTTAATTGTTTATTTTTCTTTCAATATTTTTACAACTAATAAATGAAGGCTTTACATTATACATTAAAGTATAATTTTATAATGAAAGCGTTCAACTAGGTAAAAAAATACGAGTTCATTATTGGTAAAAAACTATTGAAAATTGAACTAGAGATAAAAGAATTGTTAATATTATGTAGTTTGATTAAGTTTTACATTACTTATTTTTATTTAATCTCTTATATATATATATATATATATATATCACATTTTTCTACATAATTTTTATACACAATATATTTTGTATATAAGTATCAAAATATAATATAAAAATAATGAACATGTATAGTATGATAAAATAAACAATCCTTAACAATTACATGTAATGGTATGAAATTGACTATATATTTTGTATTATAAATATTGTTTCTATTACTCTTTTAAAGAGTAGTAAAAATTAATAACTTTGACATTTAAAACTATTTCATATATATATATATATATATATATATATATATTTTATAACAAGACAATAATATTCCTTATTAAACTATTAAATACTATATTCTTATAATATTTTCATAATGATATTAAATTAGAATAATATTATCAAAAGTCAATAAAATTATCCTTTCTAACTTATCAATTATTATCACTTGTCACTGTAATATTTTTTAAAATTTATTTATATTGCAAGTTTCACTTTATTTATTATATTAATTTAAATAAAATTGATCTTATTTAATTAAGAAAATTATTCAATTCAATATAAAAAAGTGATGTTTAAAACTTAAAAAGAATATATTTTAATTTTATTTATTATAAATTACTAACATGGGACAGTATGAATGGAAAAACCATTGGTTTTTATTTTTATTAAGCATAACAATAAAACCTTATTCTTTTAATTATTTTTTCAATGCCCATGACATATATTAATAAGTATTAAATACATTTGATCAAATATTTTAAATTGTTATAAAAATATACGTTATTTTTTTATAACTTTTAAATAACAGTTTTTTTAATACTTTCTAAATATTTGTACAAAGATTAATTAAAATACTCGTTAACAAGCAATTTTTATATTCTATTCCTTTATCTATGACGATTAATTAAAGAATAAAATAAAAATTAAAATAAAAGTTATGATTAAATTTTTTTATTATATACAAAAACTAATATAAAAATATATTGTGAAAAACGGTACTATAACGTGTGAGATGATAGTAGAAACATTTTAAAAATATTTTTTTTCTTGGTAGAAGTTATTTATCAGTTAATTTTATTATCATAGAATAAAAAAACTCTAAAATGTGTTTAAAACCTTAAATTAACTATTAAATATATTAATATAAAACGCTTAAATATCTCTTTATATTATACTTTTTGATATTTTTGAAATTAAAAATTTATTTTTGAATAATATATTTATAAAATTCTAAATTATATAAAATTTTATTTGATAATATATTTTTTAAAATAAAAAATTAAAATTTATATATATTTAAAAAGAGAAAAAATGACTATTGAATAAAGAAAATTATAAAATACATTTTAAAAAATATAATACTATTGAATAAATATTATAAACAATATTATTATTTAAGTAAAAAACTCAATTTAATAGCATAAAAATTAAATTTAAAGGTGAAAATTTCTTAAATAGTACAGTAATAATTTTTAGAAATTAAATATTTGCATAGATAAATCTAATTATTTATTAATACAAATTAAAATATTATTAAATATAATAATATTTAAAATGATATTACTAAAAGAACATTTTAAATATTATTAAATATTAATTTATAATAAATAATTTGATTAAAATAATAAAATTATAAATAATCATTGTACTGGATAAGATACTTCGGTCATCATTATAGAAAAAAGAAATCGAATACTCATTTGACTTAACACTAAATCTACGCACACTCTTTTGACTTAACTTCAAAATGAACATTTCTTTTGTCGTATCAAAATAAGATAATTAAATATTAATAATTGATAATTAATAAAAAAATTAATTACTTAAATAATCAAAAAGATAAAATAAAATTGAGTTATAAATTTTGTTAGTCGAATATTTTGTTTATAAAATAAGTAATAAGTACATGTTAGAGATTAACTTTTGATATATAAAATAATATTTATTATTTTATATTGAATATTGACTTTAAGATCATTTAATAAGAATAGTTATAATATTTAAAATTAATGGATATTTATAAATTTGAAACTAATTATTATTATTATTATGAATTAATTTAAATTGAAAAATAAAGTTTTATAAATAAGTTAGTATAAAAATATGCCAATAAATAAAGCCAAGGTCTCGTTTGCTTAGTGAAATATTCACAATCCCCGTCGCTGGAGACGAGAATACACATTGCTTAATGGAAGCCTTATCTCTTG